TACTGGGTTAAAATGGCAGTTTGTAAATGCTACGTCGCCAACATATTTGTATGACACTAAGCTTCCTTTGGCGCTGCTAAGAGCCCTCAGATTTTTCAACGGCTTAGTAGTGCAGTCTGTAGAATTTTAAGGAAAGTGTATGGTTATACTGCAATTGCTTATCTCGATGATTTTTTGATTTTTGGGAAAAACTTTTATGAATGTTCAAGAGCATTGTATACACTTCTTAGCCTACTTAGAAAACTAGGTTTTGCTATTAACTGGTCCAAGGTTGAAGGTCCCTCCCAGCAGCTGGTATTTCTGGGGGTGGTAGTAGATTCAGTGACAATGACTCTGTCTTTGCCATCAGCAAAGCTACAAGATTTCAACAATTTATTGGGAGCTTTTTCTCGGAGAAAGCGAGCTAGTGTTAGACAGTTAGAAACACTTATCGTAAAGCTCAACTGGGCCTCCCAAGTGATATGTGGTGGTCGTACTTTTCTCCGTAGAGTGTTGGATTTGAAGAATGCTGTTACTGAGAGACATCATAAAGTGTTGCTCACCGATGATTTCTTTGCAGACCTTCAGTGGTGGATATCGTTCATGTCGATATTCAATGGCACGTGTCGTATACAGGATCCACGCCCCATCACCTCACTCCAGACAGATGCTTCTTCAGAGGGAGGTGGAGGATACTATGATGGAGACTACTTTTACATTAATTGGCCATTAGATCTACCAGCTTGTGCCATGGCCCATAAAGAATTTATCGCTATTTTCTTGTCTGTGTGTAGGTGGAGTAAGTACTTTGTGAATAGTAAAGTGATCATACATAGTGATAATTCTTCGGCTGTGTCGTGGATTAACAAAGGATCTTCCAGGATTCCCCTTGTACAGTTCATGTGCCGCATTCTATTCTGGATATCTGCCCTGTATAATTGTGTTATCAGTGCTAAATACTTACCAGGCAAACAAAACAACATTGGGGATGCATGTTCCCGTCTCCATGAGCCGGGTCAACTTATAAAGCTGTATTCCTTAGTGCTTTCCCTACAACACGATAACTTTTCTATTGCAGCATTGTTGTCTCATATGTCATTACCATTTATCTTTGCCAGGTGGATTCACTGTACAGTCCCTACAAGACCAAGCATCCGCTTTGAAAAGAAAGGCATGGGCTAACTCAACAACTTCCACTTATCGCACTCATATGAAGACATACCTGGAATTTTGTGACCATATCAGTGTGCCCCCACTACCAGCAACTTCAAAAACATTACAGTTATATGTGACTTACTTGGCAAAAGTGAAGTGTTTCAAATTTTGTTCAATTCAGCAATACTTGAATATTATACCACACATGCACAAACTTTGTCATCTACGAGACCCTATTTCAGAGGATTACCAGTTGAAATATAAAAAATATGCTCATGGGTATCAAGCGAGATTTGGGTACCGCCCAATTTCCTGTTGATTCGATAACACCATCGCATCTTCTCCGGATGAGATCTTTCCTGGACTTTTCATCAGTTGAAGACTTGGGCTTTTGGTGTGCTTGTTTAATAGCCTTTTATGGTCTACTTCGTCCAGGCACCATTGCAATTACAGGACCTTTTGAGACATCAAAACATGTTAGAAGAGTGGATTTGATGCCTTGTTCATGGGGCTACCTACTTTGCTTACGACATACAAAGACAATTCAGTTTCGAGAAAGAGAGCTTAATGTTATCCTTCCTCAAGTTAATGGGGAAATGTGTCCGGCATCAGCCCTGCAGGCTTACCTTCATCTTACAAGAGGAGCAGATCTTTTTGGGCCCCTTCTTCTCACAGGAAAAGGTTCCGTTTTTACCTATAGCATTTTCCGCCAAAAGCTACATTCCACACTTGTACAAGCAGGAATAGATGACAGTAACATCAAGGGTCATTCTTTTCGACGTGGTGGAGCCACCTGGTTAAGTCGGATCGGTGTGCCGGTGGAGTGATGGGTAACGGGATGTTTCGCACCGATGCATGGTTCGCACCGCGATGTTTCGCGCCGATTCTGTTTCGCGCTGAGATGGTTCGCCCCACGATGTTTCGCTCCCAGAACATATTTCAGTAAATGTATGCTCTGATAATTAGGTTAATAGTAGTTACATGTACTTTATCATACCGCCATCTAATTATTGCCGGCTTGGGGAACCTGTCCGCTTAAATAATATGTTTTCAAGTTAACGCAGATAATTGCTGTACGACTTTATAATTGCTGTAATGAAATAATTCTCACCTTTTGATCTCCAACTAGGGGCCTAATCACAATTAAATTGTTGAACACACACGCTGAGCAAACGGGCACCATATCATTAACATTTACGATCCGTTACCTGTGTCACCGCATATTATTAAGTCATGATTTTGAGCATGTAACACACATTTATATCTAAGATTTAATACCATGAATACATGACCTTAAATTATTATTACTAAATAAATGAAATATCAAAAAAAGAGGGGAGATGTTTCGCACCGAAATCGGCGCGAATCATCCAGGCGCGAACCATCTCAGTACTGGGCCAATTTCATTTGTCACTGATCGGCGTACGCCGAATTGCGCCGGTCATATGACCGGCGTAAAACGGCTGAGAGGCAAATGAAGTAAACCGGCGAAAACATTCTTTAAAAATGAATAATTACGCTAAATGATAATCAACTAATTAAGTTTTATCACTTTTTATATTATGTCTTTGTAGAATAATTCAAAATTCAATTAAAAAAAAAACCATGGACCTCATGAAAAATTTTATTTTCAGAAAATAAAAACATATTTTAAATATACAAATAGAGATTTGCTCAAAATATGCAAACAAATAAAGAACATGTCGATTTGGTAAAAAGTATCTGCATTTTCACGGTCGTTTTCTTTTCCCGCCACATTTCTAAGACCGGCGATTTCCTCGCCGGTCATTTCAGACCGGCGCATTCGGCGTACGCCGGCGGACCTTCCCCGGTCAAATGAAGTAACAAGCCGGTTTACGAAAGGTCAAGCGGCGCATTCGGCGTACGCCGGTATGACAAATGAAATCCTACCAGTGCGAAACAGAATTAATTGGCGCGAAACATCCCGGATTCGAGTGATGCAGTGTTAAGATACATTGACCCTCACTTTTCAAATTTACTAGATACCATGGTCCTCTTTGGTAAATCACTTCCCAATGCTAAATAGTCTGGTATTATTGTTACTTATCACTTTCCTATTCAAAATATGTTACAAATCAGTTTTCTTATTATTCACCACAAATTGGGATTGGGGGTTTTTGTAACTACACTGTATTATTTTTCTCATATTCTTTAATCATGTTTTACGTGTATATGCGTTTGATGTATGTTTTGTCAATAAATTTTACGCCACTTTGTTTACTGGTTCTATTAGTATTAGGACTTGAGTCAAAGTGGTTTTTATTATGATAAAATAAATTTTGACACGGTCCCTGTATGCACAGGTTTGCGGGAGTTATCGTTCTTTACGCATTGCCATGCGTAGTATTTGCAATTAAGTTTTGGCGCCATATATGCAAGCTGTTCGGCGAGCAGCTCTTTTTTTTCTCCCACCCACCCAACCCAATTTTCCTTCCATTTAAAGTAGCATTACTTTGTGGCTGCACTGCCTTTTGTATGTTTGGTAATTTTTGTAATAGTGTGTATGGGTTTTTGTAACTATTATTTTTCTCATATTCTTTAATCATGTTTTACGTGTATATGCGTTTGATGTATGTTTTGCCAATACATTTTACGCAACTTTGTTTACTGGTTCTATTAGTATTAGGACTTGAGTCAAAGTAAAATTCAACATATGAGATTGATAAAGTATATTTTTTTTATTTGTTATCTTATAAAATGATTATTTTCCTGTTTTTAATCCCCCCCCCCCCTACATGAGACAACAAAATTTTTGGAAAGGATAAAAACTGAAAAAAAAAGATTTGTTGTTGATTCACAGGGGAGTTATTTTAAAAATAAATTTCAATTTCCCGTTAATTTTGAACATTTTTCTCAAAGATTTATATCTCTGTTTTTTGTTTTTGTTTTTGTTTTTTTACAAAATAAGTTATGTTTTATATGCATTGTGGGGGGGGGGGGGGGGGGGTCCGGACCATCTTTTTGAAATTTGAAAAGGTATTTAATGTACAAACTAAACAAACTGAAATTTATATAAGGCATAAATTAAAAGGGACCTTGCCCCCCCCCCAAAACGCGGATCCGTGTTTAATTGAAAAATCTCATAGACTTAAAGCATGAGACCCCCCCCCCCCTGCCAAAATAATTTTTCACATTTAGGAATTTAACTGGGTTTACTTTTTTTCTTGTCAAGAAATTTCTTGGTTGTTTTTTTTTTTTTCTTCCTGGGTGTCCCTCTTGGAAAAAAAAATCCTGGATCCGCGTCTGTTTTTTGAAAATACACACGAATATATCAAAATAAATATGAAAATTTATTCAAATATGTGTGGCAGTTGGCAGTAAGCAGCTGACAGTTGGCAGTAAGCAGTTGGCAGTAAGCAGTTGGCTGTCGTATATATGGCATAATTTTCCTTTTTTTTTTCTTTCCCCGAAGAGAAAGTGAAAAAAGCAGGGTAGGGGTTATTTGCTTAGCAGGAACTGCATAGAATTTTCCTCTTTTTTTTTTTTTTTTTTTTTTTTTTTTTCTTTTTGTTTACACTCTACCCCATAATTTTTTAATTGTTTAATTTTTTCTTTTTTTTTTTTTTGTTTTGTTATGTTTGTTTTTGTTTTTTTTGCTTGTCAACATTTTCAGGTACATTGTACATTTAAGTTTAAAAAATTCTCTGGCTGGATCATCCACTTTCATCGTCTTCAGTGTAACGCAACGTCTAGACTGGTATTGCCTGTCTTTACCGTACGCAGGAAAATATAAAATGTATATCGGATATCAGACAGGCAGGCCAGTCTACGCAACGTCCATCGTATATTAGTCCCCACCCTCGAATTCCGATCCCGATGTAGAACTTTGTTGACAAACATTTTTCCTCAGTCGAAGATGAACAAGAACTTTCTAACTGGAGACACAGCAACTGCATTTAAAAAGCTGATTGGTAGATATTACTGGGCAGACGATAATATTGTGGTGAAGCATCTGATCGAAGTACACGAGCAATTCTGTGGGAAAGATTGCCCTTTAGAGAAGTAAGTGGATGAGTGACTTGATCACCAGAAATATAACAGGTCCGGCACAATGTCTTGATTAAGCTATGTAGCTTAATTTAGCTATATAGCTTTATTAAGCTATTCGGAATAGCTTGATTAAGCTATTTTATCACACTTTTTTCTCAAATGTTTTATTTTTTCAGCATGCGCCAAAAGTCGCCCCTTGGTGCAGTGGGAATATTAAACTTTGAACTCTTCTGAATACAATGCATGTAAAAATCACTCACCAAATTACGTCTCCTTGAGAGACTTTGTACTCTAAGTTTTAAAAGTTTGGGGACTATTGATGAGTGACCACACAGTTATTTCTTGAATGAAATTATAAAGAAGGTCAGTTATGGCCAACAGGATAATTGATTAGTAACAGTTCAACACAATGAAAAGCAATCATACTTTTCCACGCCTCATCACACTCAATATGATAGTGCTGTTAACCAAACAATGGAAATTCATCTTTTGCATAAAAACAGCAATGTTAGAACTTTCTATGATTTAGGTTGTATTTTTGATAGCCCAAAGTACAAATATGAATAGTCAAATACTTGCGACTTTTTGTTTATTTCTTACTAAAAACATTTTTGTTGAAAACTGCAGATAAATAGCTTTAATAAGCTATTTTAAATAGCTTAATAAAGCTATATAGCTATTTAAAGCTATATAGCTTAATCAAGACATTGTGCTGGACCTGTATAAAATGTCAGAACGGTTTATAGCATGTCTGACCTTTTGTTACAGGTCTAATACAGAGTCAGAGAAAGGACACCTGGGTATCGGTCCAGAGGAATCCGATGCAATCAGTCCACACAGATCAGAGACACTACAGAGAGCTGAAGGTATATTTTTGTAGTATAAGGCCTATAAGTACATATAGATAGTTTTCGATTGACCAAGAGTTACTTCCCGTTGGCCGCCATACCGGAGGTCCAAATGCTCATATTCCTTCATTCTTCAACCAATTTAAAATTTTTATATTGCTATTTTGAATTAGAAATCATTATTTTTCTGAAGTATATAAATTTTTGGAAGCCTCCTTTATTTAAAAAAAATTATTTGATAAAGATTTTCCACCAAATATTTCTGCTATATTTTCTTAAACTTGGTAAGACAAAGAGGGAAAATCAATGAGTCGACCAACGGGAGGTAACTTTCGCTAAATTCAGGCCTATCGAAAACTATCTATATGTGGTTATAAGTACCCTTGGCAAGTGATATTGACGGAAGTCACAGAAAGAGAAAGCAACCAAGTTTACGACGTAATAAGACGTCTATGTCTGAGGTTAATATCGCTTGACATGGGGCCTTATACATATACATGTAACCACATTTTATTGACCATTCACTATTAAGTCCATAATAATTATATTACATGTATATAATGACCCAAAAAGGAACATTCCAACAAAGTCCTAACTGAATCATTATGTCAGTGTCACAATGGTAAAATCATGCTTTTTACATAACATCAAGTACGGTGTAGATTTGGTGTAGCCAAACGCAGAGTCAAGTGATATATTTCATGGATGCACTCTGCATCAGTATTACAAAAGGACGAATATCATGTGATGCTCTTTCAGCCAATGACATTATGGGTATGAAAATAATAATATATATACTATATATTAGGGATGGATATCGCCAAAAATTTCGTATCGCGATATATCACGATTTTTTTCCCACAATATCACGATGATATCATGATGTTTTTAAAAGAAGTTTTTACAATGATTTTGTATGAAAACTCATTATTTTTCTAAAGAATATGCAAGAAAAACAAAATTTTACTTTCTTGAAATTTATATGTACTATATAAAATCAATTATGTTTGGACGGTAAGATACCGTTCTTTTCACTTTTTACATTTTTTTCTACACTTTCTGTAATTGTTATTTGAAAGATTGAACAAATAAATGAATAATTTCTGGACTTTATAATATGCACCAAAAGACCGGTATTTAGGTCTCTGTATTACGATACGTATCACGCAACAGTGAATCGCGATATACTGGTATACCAATAAAATCGCACTATATATGCACCTTCTTGTCATGACATTATAATCTAATAAATCTGTTTCTGTAACTTTTCAATTGCAAGTTCTGATTATTGCATGAGTTTTGAACAACGAAACTAGAAGTCTTCACAAAAATTTTGTTCCAGCCATTAGTCAATAGTAACTGCATTTGTAATTTTAACATTTTACTTGCTTATAATGCTGAAGACATAATTTCCACATGATATATGCAAGACATAATGAAATAAAATTTCCCTGTAAGTGAGAAAATGTTGTTTTGAAAAATCTCAAATCCCAATTCCAAAGGCCTGGGCTCCATTCTCCAAATAAATTTGAAAATCCCTGCAGTTTTACAATCCGATTCAAATTAGTCTTCCCTTTTATTTACAGAATGCTGTGCATCCACAGAAGATCCAGAGAAGTTCATTTCTTTACAAATGGAAGGTATGCTCAGTTGTCAATAAAAAAATTTAAAATGTATAAATCAATGCAGATAATGAATAGACATCAAGCTCAGAAGTACATTTGAGAAGTACTTGTTTAGAGCAGAGCAAACTCGAACAGCTTAAAATATCAGAGGTGGGATTAGGTGCCAGGGAGAAGGGAGCATCCCCTGCTGACCTGAGAAGTAAGCAATGAATGCTCCTTGATACATGTATGATCAGGAAAATGAAAAAAAAAACCTTTTTAGACAATTCTACGTCTAAAAATAAAGCCCTTACATTTTGTATAAAACACAGTATTAAGCACAGTATTTTTTCAATGTTGGCTTTAAGTAAGATATGGTCATTAGATTTGTGTCCCACTTTCCCAGACCTTTGGATGAGACAGTAAAAACAGAGGTCCCCTGCCTCAGTATGACAAGAAAAAGATCCCTGACTGCCCAATGGCTGTAAGTGCAAAGTAGCAGAGTCACAATTTGCAGCTCTCCACCAGCAAGTGGTGGCATCTCCATATTAAGTGAAACATTCTGAAGAGAGACGTTTAACAACAAAAACAAAACCTGTGAATATCAGTAAATAAATTTTCTATGCCTTAAATTAATGAGCTGTAAAATATATAAAATTCATCTTTATTTTAGGTCTCACACAAGGAAATAATTTCACTATATATTACTATAAAGCTTGAATTAAATTATTTAATTTATTAGACTCTCAGCAGAGAATTCATGAAAGAGAAAATAAAGATTAATGCTTCAACAAAAATTTGAGATCAGAAAAAATATGCCTTATGCGGCTTTTAAGAAAGAAAATCAACAGTAAACATACCTACCCCGAAATGCACGTGGGATTCACATGTTGACAAACAGCCTACACACCATCCAGGAAGTTGCATCATGCGCACCTGAAAAAAGAGTTCCTTTTAATTCAGTGGGATAATTCTGCTAAAGAAATGATATTCCTAGTACATGAGTCTAATTTTAATACTGTAGGGCTAAAACAATTTGCCAAAAATGAAAAAAAAAAAAAAAAATTCTCTATATATATATGGAACTTCAATTGACTAAGTTCATTTTGATTGGCTATTTCCTTGCGTAAGACCTTTAAAACAAAGTAAAAATATTTTAAGATGGTTAGCATATGTAATCATCCATATAAATTTGTGTTTTTCACTTTAGTGGAAGATGGAACAGAGTCAGTGGATGAAGACAGCAGTGGAGAAAGTGATCCGGATATGGAATCTGAAACAGGAATAGAAAGTGGAGAGGTGAGTGGAGAATTACAAGTTACCACTGAAACAGAAACAGAAAGTGGAGAGGTGAGTGGAGAATTACCAGTTTAACTGAAAAAGAAAGTAGAGAGATGAGTGGAGAACTACCAGTTACACTGAAACAGAAATAGAAAGGGAGAGGTGAGTGGAGAATTACCAGTTAAACTGAAACAGAAAGTGGAGAGATGAGTGGAGAATTACCAGGTACACTGATATAGAAAGTGGAGAGGTGAGATAGGTATTGCAAAACGATAAGAACAGTTAATCTGGCTTAAAAAAGGAGAGTTAATCGGCTTACATGTAACAATAAATTTGATACAGAAAGTGTTGCATATACTCAAAATATTTCATTTATTAAACAAGTTTAAGTTTCTTTACTATATGTAGTTTGAATGGGATGTCTTTGTATAACTTGTTAATGTATTAATATGCAGTTTGATACTTTTAGAATCAACCTCCAAAACAATTTAAAGCATCAACAAAAAACAGAAAAATGGGCATTCTGTGGGCAACTAAGTCATTTCAAGGTACTTTAATATATTTATTTCATGTTTTAGAACAGATGCTCAGTTATGCTTGTAAACTTTCGCTATAGTAAATGCCTGTAACAGAACTCTTTTGCTGATGTTATTTTGCCCTTTAATCTTGAATTCAACATCAATCTTTAATTTACCCAAGCTCCAAAGGAGAGGGGAGTGTACTGTTTTAGCCTTGTTTGTCTGTTGGTTTATATCATATTTTGTCCCAGTGTTATAAGCAACTACTTTTTGCATATGCTTAAAAAATTTTGCAGTCTGCCATATAAAGGCTACATGGTGGGATATAATTTTGATACAAATCTGAGGTCAATTTCCAATTTATATGTACATCTGTCCATACCAAACTTCCATAATGATTTCAGTTTTCTCAGTAACCATTCATTGCACATGTTAAAAGTTTTAGCACTCTTTATTTTGACAAGACATATCTGATTCAGTTCTGTACAAATTTGATGTCAACTTCCTGTTTATCAGTTGGTCCTTCAGAACCCCGACACAGTTTTCTCCATAACTACATGTACTTATTGCAATTGCTTGAAATTGTAGCACAATCTCTGAATAAGCATGATGCATTGTGGGATTCATTATGTTTACATCAGAGATGGAATAAGTACAAGTGAGCAGTCGCCTGCATGACACAGTGGTTAGAGCATCTGCTCTAGAGTGGCGAAGTAAGGAGTAATCCTTGCGTTGCAGGATCCAATCCCAGTTTGAGACATGGAGACCTGTCCTTTTGGATGTGACCATATAAACCAAGGTCCTGTGTCACAGAAGGTGCTGGCATGAAAAAAAAATCCCTCACTGCCTAAGGGCCATAAGTGTCCAGTATAGGACAGAATTTGCAGCTTTCCACAGTCAAGTGGTGAAGTCTCCATTTGAGTGAGAAATGTTTTGGAGAGGGACATTAAAAACTACAAGCAAGCAAAAAGCTAGTGATCATTGGCTCAAAGATTTTTTATATCAAGGTAGCATTTTGAAAGCAGAGGATTTGAAATAATAAATGTTAAGAAACATAATTTATAAAGTAATAGTTTGGACTGTCAACACTATGTGGCATATACCCTGTTTATAAGAAATGTGTGTTCAAGATAAAGCGTACAACTTTACATGTGTAGGAATTTAGGCTGGACTGAGGACATCGGCCTGGATAGCTCAGTGATTGGAGCATCTGACTTGTAATACAGGGTCCCAGGTTTAATTCCTGGTCCAGCCATACATTTCCCCCTTTCCTGTTAAACGCTTTACCTATAACATTTTTTTTTTCAATTTCAGATTGGCATGAAGAGTGTTTTGGTGAGAAACTGGACCTGAGACTTGTTAGTCCTTCTAAGCTGTCCAGTCTTCTGTGTAGATTTTACTGCGAGGTCAAGGCCAAACCGACCAGGAAACACCCCCAGGACACCCTCTATAATAGAACGACGCTGATGTCAATCAGATATTCCCTTAACAATCATCTGTCTGACCTAAATAGACAAATCGACATTGTTAGAGGTGAAGAATTTGATGAACCAAATAGAATATTGGCAGAGATTTGTAAGCCAAGGCTAGGATTAAGAAAACCAACAGGGCATGCAAAGCTGATAGATTGTGCTGACCTGGAGAAAATTTCAATTCACCTTCAAGGGGCCTATAAATCCCCTGTGATCTTGCTTCAAGCAGTGTGGTATTTACTGTCTTTACATTTTGTAACACGCAATACGAAACTTCATCAGCATCTAAAAATAAATAGTTTCGAGTTCAAAACAGATCAAAATGGGGAATATGCAATTGTCAAGAGTGAAACTATGAAGAAAGAACACTGCAGTCATCGGGCCCTGGGGGTGCATATTCACAAGCGAATGTATGCCCTGGAGACTGATAGAGGACTCTGTCCAGTGAAGCTCCTTAAACTGATGATAAAGAAAACAGACAAAAATGCCACTCTACTCTTCAATAAGTACAGAAAACGTACTTCGCCAGGTGCACGAAAATGGTATTTAGCTTCTCCTTTTCGAAGTGAAATATTGTCATCAACACTGCATAATTTGTGCAAGGACGCAGGTGTCAATACAAAGTACTCATTTCAGTGCCTTAGAGAGACTGCCATCACATACATAAGTGATCAAGGATTTGATCCACAACATTTGATGAATAAAGCTCTCCTCCATAACAAGGGCAATGTTAGATGAAAGTAGGACGTTAGCTTATAAGAGGGCAATGTCAGATGATATTAGAGCAATGTTAGATGATGAACGGGCAATATTAAATGATGACAGGGCAATGTTAGATGATGACAGGGAAATGTTAGATGATGACAGGGAAATGTTAGATGATATCAGGGCAATGTTAGATGATAACAGTGCAGTGTAAGATGATGACAGGGCAATGTTAGATGATGACAGGGAAATGTTAGATGATGACAGGGAAATGTTAGATGATATCAGGGCAATGTAAGATGATAACAGGGCAATGTTAGATGATGACAGGGAAATGTTAGATGATATCAGGGCAATGTTAGATGATAACAGGGCAAAGTTAAATGACAACAGGGCAATGCTAGGTGATAACATGGAAATGTTTAATGATATCAGGGCAATATAAGACTTTAATAGGGCAATCTTAGATGATAACAGGGCAATGTTAGATGATAACAGCCTTACAGGGCAATGTTAGATGATAACATGACAATGTTAGATGATAACAAGACAATGTCAGATTATAACAGGGCAATGTCATATGATAACAAGACAATGTCAGATTATAACAGGGCAATGTCATATGATAACAGACCAATGTTTAACAGGGTAATAATACATGTAGATGATAACATTACAATGTTAGATGATAACAAGACAATGTCAGATTATAACAGGGCAATGTCATATGATAACAGAGCAATGTTTAACAGGGTAAATATACATGTAGATGATAACATGACAATGTTAGATGATAACAGGGCAATGTCAGATAATAACATTAATTGTCTCATGTGAAGTTCACTGCATACAATGTATGCTTGATTAGTTGTGTATATTAAAGCCTTGTAGACAGAGTCATTAAAATACTATCTATCAAACACTTTCTGAATCTCTAAGAGCGAGAATGCACATTTACTTTAATTGTTATTATATAATGGAAATGGAAAGGTTTTAAATAATTTCTGTATCACTTCATACTCATGATCATTGAATTCACAATCAAATAAAATGAATTAATATTTGACTTGTCTTTGTGATTACTGGACTTTTTTGAGAAGCATTGTCTTTTACACTCGATGACTATATTACTTTGACATTTAAACATGTGCATTGTACAGAGGAACGGAATTAATAATAAATAAGAAAACGTTAGAAGTGGTCAGAGGTATGGTGCAAGGGGTGCAGTGTACTTGCATGATTAAGGTTTCACTAAATGTCAACTTGTCTAAAAATTTCTTTTTACAATAGCTACAAAACTATATAAAGTATAAAGTTAAAACTTTTACAGTTTATAAATATATCATTGATTAACAGATAGAATGTATCACTTAAAAACAAATATTCAAATAAATATTTTTTTTAAGAAAAAAATATTTAAAAATTTAAACATTTTTTTTAAAAAATGTACCTGCTTAATTCTGTACTTTAAGTGAAAACCATCATTGCAGAAATAATATATGCTTATCAATGAAGGGCAGGTTGGACGTGAATGGTCTCTGAAAGGCTCTTATTAAAGCATGAAATGTATAACGACAAGACCCCTATGGAATCCGCCATTTGCAATGTACTTTTGGTTTCATATCTTAACATTTGGACAAAATAAACAGAAAATAACTTTCCAGAGGCTATCGAAGTCCAACTTGCCCTTCATTGAAAAACATATATTGTTTCTGCAATGATGTCTTTCACTATTTAAAAAAAAATAAATGCATTTTTTAAAAGAATTTTTCTCAATAAATATTTTTTAAAACGTATTTATTATCAAGTGATACTTTCTATCTGTTAATCAATGATATATTTATAAACTGTGAAAGTTTTAACTTTATAAATCTAATAGTTCTGGAGCTATTGTAAAAATAAATTTTTGGAGAAGTTGACTTTGGTGAAACCTTAACCTGCATACAATCAATGCAAGAAATAATAATGTGAGGCAGAGATACATAACTAAAATACCCTAAACTGTAAAAATTTATACATTCTATCTCTTAATGTATATGATTTTAATTATACTCCCGCTCCGAAGGAGAGGGGGTATACTTTTTACCCCTGTGTGTTTGTCCGTCCGTCAAGCTGTCTGTCCGTCTGTCGCAGTTTTCTCAGCAACTTCTCATCGCAGATGCTTGAAATTTTAAAACAATCTTTTCTGAGGCATGCCATACGTTGGGATACATTTTTGTTCAAATCCGATGTCAACTTCCTGTTTGTCTGTGCGTCTGTCCGTTTCATGCATAACAAATTTTTGTCGTAGTTTTCTCAGCAACTACTCCTCGCAGATGCTTGAAATTTTAAGACAATCTTCTCTGAGGCATGCCATATGGTGGGATTAATTTTGATATGAATCTGATGTCAACTTCATATTTTTTCTGTGTATTTGCCTGTAATTGAACCTGTATATATTAACATGATAGAGTTTATTCACATGAAAGCGGGGGTATTACTAGTGAGCATTGGCTCACAGATGTCTTGTTATTACAGAACATAGGTTTCAGAACCGGCAGGAAAAAGGGGAGTTACCCCCCCCCCCTTCACTTCATCATTGTCTTTCTAAATTAAGAACACGAAGAATAAGTGCATATAAGTTGCATGTAGAAACAGGTAGATATTGTAATCCTGTCATTTCTAGAGGAAATAGATTTTGTTTACATTGTAAAAATATTGTTGAAGATGATAAAACATTGTTTACTTGATTTTCCTATATGTATAAAGATGTCAGAAAAAAGAATACAAGGTTACTATAGATGTAATTTTCTCATCTTGTTTGTGGAGGTAAAAAATGGGTAAGTGTTCGCGTTTGGACCCCCGTCCCTACACACACACACACACACACACACACACACACACACACACACAAACACACACACACACACACACACACACACACACACACACAAATAGGATCTTCCTGTTTTGACAATCAACGCATTCCCCCTTTTTATGTCACCTGGGTAAACTCAGTTGACCTATTGCCATCTGTTTTCGTCCGTCGTTGTGCGGTGTATGTCGTTCGTCGTGTGTTCACATTTGAAATTTTTTAGTTTCTTCTCTGCAACCACTCAACCAATTTCCACCAAATTTGGCATAAAGCATTTATGGGTGAAGGGAAGCAAAAATTGTGAATTTCATGGTTCCTGCCCCCCTGGGGCCTAAGGGGTGGGGCCAAAACCACTAAAATTAATGCAATCTTTAAAAATCTTCTTTTTTACTCCTGAACTTTAAGGAGTCAAATTGTTAGCATGAATGTAATGACCATTGAGTCCTCTACCAAAATTGTGAAATTCATGGCCCCAGGGTTAGGGGTTCTAGTGCTAGGACGGGGCTCTATTGATTACATAGTGAAAATACAGGTTATTTCTTTGAAAATCTTCTTCTCTGCTCCTGGGTATTTAATAAACTAAGTAAGTATATGGCTATGATGGGCAAGAATGCATCTTCCAAAATAGTGAATTTTATGGCCCCAGGGTAAGGGGTTCTGGTGTTAGGGTGGGGCTCTTTTGATTATTTAGTGAAAATACATTAATTTTTTGAAAATCTTCTTCTCTACTCCTGGGTATTAAACAACTTACTAGTTAAGTATATAGTTACGATGAGGAAGATTGCCTCTTCCAAAATTAATTGTGAATTTATGGCCCCAGGGTCAGGAGTTCTGGTTTTAGGGTGGGGCTCAAATGATTATATAGTGAAAATACATTAAATCTTTGAAAAATTTCTTCTCTGCTCCAGGGTATTAAGTAGATGAACTATCTTTATAGCTATGATGAGCAAGGGCCATTCTTTCTGAATTGTAAATTTCAAGACCCCTGGGTCAGGGGTACCATTGGGGTGGGGTGGGGGGTAGTGGCACTACTGATTATTGCTGAACATTACTGATTAGTCGAAATGCATTTTTTTTTGTTCCCGTATACTTTGTCTATGGGTATTAAGTAACCAAAGTTAGCATACAAAGTGTATAGATCTAGTTATGTTAAGTAGTGGTGCCTCTTTCAAAATTGTGAATGCCATGACGTCTAGTTTAAAACATGAACCAAATTCAAACGTTGGAAAGTTGTTGCATGATGCTCAGGTGAACTATAAGGCCCGTGGGCCTCTTGTTTTATTTGCTTTTTTGTGTAACAGGAAAGGAGAAAATGTATGGCTGGTCTGTCTGTCCGTTAACCCGGGACAAAAACTTTAACCTTGCCCATAACTTTTGAATAAGTGAAGCTATGCTCATACCAACTGAGCTATCCAGGCCGATATCCACTTTAACACAAAAACCATTACATTCCTCCCTCCTTAAATGGTCATATTTCGCCCTCGAAGACACAACCCAATTTTTATTACCCCTGGCAGGACTTTCACCTGCAACTCCAGGACCTTTCATTGGTGGTCAACGGCACCAAATCTGTAACAGGAAAGGACTTTCATAAAATATTTTTTATGGCTTTTATTTGATACCAACAACCTTGACCTTTTGACCTTGGAGATTTTTTTGTACTTATGAGAAAACCCTTGCATCTCTAGTCAGGTGCTCTACCAACTGAGCTATCCAGCCGATATCCACGACCCAAACCATTACATTTGCTTTTTTATGGGTTTGATTTTTTTCTCCTCTTAGTCCCCTCTCCTTTCAATTTGCTTCTGATGCCAATACAGAAATTTCAGATGCAGAGTTTATATCATCAATTATTTATTTTTTTTTACTTAAAATTTATTTCCAAGGGCGACGCTGGAAAGAGAGCATTTTATTTTACAACCAAAGAAAACAATGTGATATTCAGAATTTCTGTTTAAATAAAAAAAACAAACACACTAAGATTTGTTGTGTTTTCTAATGTGAATTAGATAAGCACGATTGTCATGATTGTAAAATTTATATTAATATAAACCACATATTATTTTTTTTAATTTCATTGTGATATGAAAAAAAATATATCTTCGGGTTTCTATTTATCCTTATTATGGATAAGACATACAGTGTAATAATTCATTTCTGTAAAAGTAAGAAACACTTCAAAATTCAAACTATTTTGTTTTTCCATTTGAATCTAAATATATTGTTGCTTGTGAAAATTACTATTAGGAAAAATTCTTTGAAATTTGGAGCAGAGGGATACAATTTCACCTTAAATGATGCTCAAAGACTATCAAATAAACATATCCTGGTATTAGCCTCCACCAAAGAACCCCGATCCCGATAACATTCTCAACAATAAAAAAAAATGTAAATGAGTGCTCTGTGTGGTAGCTTCTCGAGTCTTTGGACTTATTCTAACTTATTTCATGATAACATGAATTATGAATAGGTACAGGAACATTCTAACTGGAGAGGCAGCCACTGCATTTAAAAAACTTATCGGTAAATATTACTGGGCAGACGATAACATTGTGGTGAAGCATCTGATCGAAGTACACGAGCAATTCTGTGGGAAATGTTGTCCTTTGGAGAAGTAAGTGATGATTGAATTGTAATTTATTGCTTGTTTTAATATAATTAAATCACTTAAACAGTTAAAGAAAATATTTGTACGATATTTCGAATGTTAGACGGACACAAGCAGCCGATGATCGATGGCATCTTGGTCTAAATGGGTCCGACTAATATTTTTAAAAATGTGGATCCATAAACTTGTACAATAACTCAGCCCACACACGTTTTTGTCAAGAAATATATTGTACAAATGTACTACATATGCATGTAACTGTTTATGCGAAATTGCAACATGCAAATTAGGGAGTAACTGTCATTGATTTTTTTTCTTCTTTGGAGGTGTTTTTGCTTTGTTTGATGCTATGATCGATCATTTTGCTTAGCTCGCGTGATAATTTGCATTAATGCCGATGGCATTCATGCATAACATTATCATTCGAGCCAAGTGAATAATCAAAAAATCCCAAAAGCCAACGGTTTTCTTGCCTAATCCTTGATCATTATAAAAAAAATGCTATAGCTACTCTTTACTTAATAAACAATTACTTAAAAGTTATTTTCATAAATAAAACTGATATAAATATGTGTGCATCATGTAGGCTGGTTTATTCACTTCTAAGGCTTAAAAAAAAAATTAGTTTGTTTCCTGTAACATTCCCCAAAAATAGACCGTTTCACGGTAACTGCGGTACTACTCTTTTGCAGGGCAAAATGATATATTTTGGTGAAATATGACGTAAAAGTAATTGTTTAAAATACGTCATTTAATTATCTATCAACAAAAACACCGCCAAACATTATTTTGCCCTGCAAAAGCGTAGTACCACAGTTATCGTGAAGAGGCTAATTAAGGGTCGGTAGGTCGGAAATTTTTTTTTTTTTTTGCTTATGTATGGTCAAACATCCCCGGACTGAATATACCAAGTGTCATATTTACAGTGGACTTGTATTTAAGGTAAATGTAAACTAGGTTGATGTTTTATGTCTCAAGTTAAGCCTCAAGCTAGTTTTTTTTGTTTTAATGAATGGAATCAGGGCCTAAAATAAAATATTGTTTGTTTGCAGTTGCCAACCGACCCACTGAAGGGAATCCAAGTTTATACATCTAATATAAATACAATTTTTTTTTATAGAAAAAAACTAATTAAGCACCCGACCCAAACTTTTTTTTAGCCATTTTGTAATATTTTTCTCTCTCCAATTTTTCTTGATATTAAAACTGTTTCATTTTCAATTTTTGTCTTCATCAATCATTAGTTTATACCAAGAGTGCAGCTTATTCATGTATAGTAGGCCTATGGAAAACTCTATTTTATGTTATGTAATATATAATGATTGGTCAAAGCAGTTTTGCCATTTGTCATGGAAAAAAAAAATCCACCCGGGGGTAATTTGAATGGGTCAAGCAGGTTACAGGAAACAAACATAATTTTTTTTAGGCCTAATCATGCTAATACAGTAGTCTTTAATAGGTAATACATGGCTTGTAGCATTTGGATTGGCGGAATCAATACATGGCATGTGAATATAGGAATAACTGTCAGATTTTTCTATTTCATGATGATTATCAATCGATTTGCTTGCATGATTTTTTTTTTGCTTTAACGCTTTCAGCATTTATGCAAATTATTAGCAAGCCAATCTATTGATCACATCATGGATGGAAAAATAAGACGGTTATTCCTTCAATTTTATTAATAAAAAATTAATTTATAGTTTTATCTTCGAAAAAAAATTTGTGCGGAACATTGTTGAAATGTAGATTTTTTTATGCTATAAATATACACTGCCTTTATTTTTCATAAATTAAATTTAAAAACTATTTATCTAGATCGAAGGTTAGGCAAGTACGAGGGGTGATCAAAAAGTTCACGAACTATCTCTATATTTTCAAAACCACAATTCAGATCAGAATGAAAGAAGAAAGTTCACATTGGTCCATTTTTGGCCCTGTGAATTTCTGAAAAATAAGAACTACTCAGTTTTAGTTGAAAATATGTTATATTTCACTTATACCCCTGGTGACTTCATATCAAATATAAATGACGTAATTTTTTCTCTTGTCTATGTATTATGACGTCATGAATTTCGTCATTTTCCTCAAATTTTGAAAATTTTGTTAAAAATGACCAAAATTTAAGCTGTTTTTTAATATTCTGCATAACCCCCAACCTCTGATCTAAAATGTTGAATTATATAATGAAAGAACTGTTTTAGAAGATTCTAATCCATGAAAGAATTTTTGGATTGCAGGGTGGGCTCATATTTTATCAAAAGTTGAAGATGCTCAATTTCACTCATTTTCTTCAAAAATCAAGAACATTGCAGTTTCACAACGCCTGAGTTTCCAGACTTGGACTCTCAGAGGAAAATTTTTTATAGGAAATGAAAGCACTAAGTCTCTACTTTATGTTGATGATCGAAATAGGACGTAAGGACTTGGTCGTTTAATTAGTATATTGACAGGGCCTTTTTATGGAGTACGTGAATCTACCTCTTTGACATACATAAAGTCATGCAAATGTTCTATAAATAGCATATGTAATGGAACGTTTTTCCCCGTGTTTGTGACGTCACAATGTGAAAATGACGTCATAAGGCAGATCACTTGTGAAAAAAATGGTTGACTCAGTCATATACGAGAAACGAACAGCTGTAAATTTAATTGTATATCTTGGAAATTCCTTTGTTTAAGTTTATAATAATTTGTATTCGGTTTATGAAGATAAAAGACTTGCTAGAAGTTTTGTCATTAATTGGATTGATTGTTAGAGTGAAGGAAGGGAGATGTTTAAAAATGATGTTTGTTCTGTTGCCCAGTGAAAGCAAACTTGGAGAGAGACCTATTCTTTGTTAAGCAGTTTGATATAAAAGATCACCAACTTACTGTTAGAAAAATAGATGAATATATTTACATTATTATAATTATCAAATCCCTAAAATATTGTTTACTTTAGACTTTAAACATCGCAGATATGATAAAGTGAAGGCACCCATACTTTATCCACATGAAATAAATGACGCTCAAAAGACAGAGGACTGGTTTTGATGGTCACATTTGCTCATTCCGCTAAAGGATATCATTATTCACCCATACTATTTCAGAGATTAGGTCATTTATGACAATTATACTGTTTTTTTGGAAAAAATAACTTGCATGGTTAGAAATATAAGAGTCGGAAAAAATTTTAAGCTTCTGTGCTTAAGTGCATGTCACGTGACTGCCTATATCATGCATGGGCAGATTGATTGCAGATGCATATGCATGCACATTAAAATCGGAGAGGATATTGAAACATATTCAACACTGAAACTCTATATCATTTCTTTTTTGGAAGTTATTCAATGAGTTCGCGAACTTTTTGATCACCCCTCGTACCTGTATATTATGTTGATAAACATTTCAAATGTTTTAAATATTTCTTCATTATTCTTTTCTGAAACTTGATTGTCATAGATTGGATGTAAATTTTTTGAATTTTTTTTAGCATATCCACCTATATATATTTCATCTATCAATTGTAGCTGTGATGGAAGTCAACAAGAATCAGGAGCAGAAAAACTGACTATCGGCCCCAAGGGATCAGGAGCAGAGAAACGGACTATCAGCCCCAAGGGATCAGGAGCAGAGAAACGGACTATCAGCCCCAAGGGATCAGGAGCTGTCAGTAGACAGGGATCAGGAGCAGAAAAAGTGATCGTCAGTCAACAGAGATCAGACACAGCAAAGAAAGATGAAAGATCTGGTAAGGCTTTGTTACAAGAAAGAAGAAAATTTATGGCTTGAGCTGAACTCAAACCCCTGCATCAGTAAACAATAAGCTTACTCAGGGGTTCAAAATTTTTTTTGTCATGGTCAAGTCCAGGACTTAAAGAGTAAATTTTAGGCAAGTCCGAGGAAGAAATTTCAGAGTCCATATTTACCTATACATCATTAAATTTATGTTATTTATAATTTATTTTCATTTGTTGATTGAATGAATAAAGACTACTAGTATATGTATTAATATATGTTTTATTTTTCCTCCATAAACTGTCATATAGTCATACATGTCAAATGAGTATTTCAACACAATACCAGACTGATAGATTACTGGTACATTACAATAACTTTTACAAATACTCACTACTGAATAAACCATCTGTTACAATAAATAGAGATTAGAATGTTCTGTAGGCCCTAAGTCACAGCTATAACCGAAATTTAACCAACTCATTGCCGTTTAGGAGGAAACATGAGAAATTTCGTAAAAGCAAGAGTCTAACCGCAACAGAAAATAAAAAGACGGATTGTATTTTTGAAACATTCGTAATGTTTTATGGGTATTTTAACGCCCACAAACCCACATTTTAACTTAATACATTTGAGAATTTGCTTTATTTTAGTTTACGATCATTTTTTAATTTATAAAAAAAGATAAACAAGAAACATAGCCAAGTCCCAGGACTTTGGTGAATTCTAAATGCCGAGTCCGGATCCGGAATTTGTTAGTCCGGGACGTCGGGCTTGAGGAATTTTGAACCCCTGCTTACTGAGCTTCAAGTTCCTAGGCTACTCTTCATGGCCCAAACCATTACAGCTTTATACAAATGCAGCATTACTGTAATATGTAAATCCCAATTGCTGTCATTGACAGTATGGTTAAAGTATTATTGCAGCCCGGAGGACCGGGCTGCTCTATACATACATGTATAAGTTTAAGTGTTGGTGTATGGGGATTGAGATGGGAGATGTTATTCAGAATTTAAGGTTTTCTTAACATTAAAAAGGTTAAGCAGAATGTTCTTTCCCTTTATAAATTACGAGATACATAATATATTTACTTCCATTAAGTGAATTTGTAAAAATATATATGTTTTTGAATTAATATATAAAGTTGCGTACCCTTTTTTATTGAAAAAATGACAGGTCCCCTTTTTTAGAACATCGAATTTTTCTTAACGCATGAAAACGCACTCTAAACAGTTCGTGTTTTATATTGATTTCTTAAAGTGAAATACATTTTTGAAAATAGATGAGGCATGAGTCTAGTTTCAATTTATATTTTATGCAGCCAACATTTACTTGAGAAATTGATAAAGTTTGAAAGGGTATTGGTTTTGTTCGATTTTTATCCGACTATAAGTCTTCAAAATATTCTCCACTATAGTGTCCATCATTTAGACGCATGCCTTTTTCACACATATCGAAGCGGTGTGATGATCAAGACTCATTTCCATTGTTTACTTTATTTATTTCCTGGGCAACAATTGATGGTTAATACATCAATGTTTTCTTGTTACTCTGTGTACAAGTCCTATTTGACAATTGACATTATAGATTAGGCTGTGTATTTTACTTGTTCATTGTCACTTCTTTCCTTTATTTCTGCCACTGAATTTAAAGTTGCATGATTGCATGAGTGTAGAACAATTAAGATTCAGACTGATTTTTAGCTACTCACTACTGTTTGAAATGTAACTTATGACTCTGACAATAAATTAAGTCCAGTCAATATGCTTAATCTTTCTTTCCTTTCAGAATACCCCTCACCATCAGAGGATCAGGAGAAATCCATTGGTTTACAAATGGAAGGTACTGTCAGATGTGTTTGCTAAAATTTTGTTAATGTTTTTCTACTGCCATCAGACATCAGGTTGATAGTTGTTAGAGTGTCTGCTCTTCATTTGTGGAGTAAGGATTTGATCCTTAGATCCCAGATTCAAAACCACTGCGGAACGTGGAGACTGGTTCCTTCCCAACTTCCTTAAATGAAATTATATAACTGAGGCCCCATGTCAAGACAATGAACTATTGTTCATGAAAAAAAAGATCCCTCACTGATCAATGGCCCTAAATGCTGCTATTGGTATAAATTTGCAGCCCTCCACCAGCAAGTGGTGGCATCTCCGTCTGAATGAAAAATTAACATAAGGGACATTAAACAGTAAACAAAAAAACAAATTTAAGCTACAAACTTCTGCCCTTTTAATTGACTCAATATCTAAAATTTATAAGGAATAAATCAGGATTCAATCTTAAGAACGAAAATTTATGTGGAATAAATCAAGATTCAATCTTAAAAACAAAAATAAAATGTACTAGTTTAATATTTTCCACTGCAAATGTTGAAAAATTGGACCAGATATTCAATTATTTATGAAAATGAAGTGGCATACATGCATATATTGGCTTTAAGATAGATATAGTTTGGACTTGTGTGCATTAATATTGAAATATCCCACAGAATGTAAAAACAAATCTGCAACATCAACATGAAAACATGCTCAGTTAGAATGTTTGTATACTATATAAACAGATTTTAAAAAAGAAATAAAGTAACATTAAGCCGGATGATGAAGGCACAAAATTTTACAATGTTAAGTGATAAACCAGGATAGTTAGCAAAACATATTTTTAAAAAAAATTTCCATTTGATTTTGAAGATTTCTATTGGTTGTTGTTTTTGTGCTGCCTCTGCAATTGTTTGATTGTTGATCTGTACAACACTAACCGTTGGTAATTCTGTTGTTTGTTCTTGTAGTGGAGGATGGTGCAGAGTCCCTGGATGAAGACAGCAGTGGGGAAAGTGAACCGGATATGGAATCTGAAACAGAAATAGAAAGTGAAGAGGTGAGTGGAGAATTACCAGTTACACTGAAACAGAAAGTAGAGAGGTGAGTGGAGAATTACCAGTTAATCTGAAACAGAAAGTGAAGAGGTGAGTGGAGAATTACCATTTAAACTGAAACAGAAAGTAGAGAGGTGAGTGGAGAATTACCATTTAAACTGAAACAGACAGTAAGGAGGTGAGTGGAGAATTACCATTTAAACTGAAACAGAAAGAAAGGAGGTGAGTGGAGAATTACCATTTAAACTGAAACAGAAAGTAAAGAGGTGACTGAATTTAAGCCAGATTACGGCTTTGGAATGAAGACAGTAACTCTATAGCAAAATAAGTTATCCTAAATTTGTCCATACTTATATATTATTTCTATTTTCAGGAAGTTCAGATAAAAGAAGAACCAGATGACTTCCAAGAGAATTCTAGTGAAATAGCTAAACTAAAAGGTGCCTCTACAGCAAACAAGGAAGATTTCTCATCCCTCAGACCGCATTCTACTGACAATCCAAAGTCCACCAATCAATTTTCATTAAGAATTCAGATGTCCACACACAGCCAATCAAATAATTCAAAAGACATTAAGGGTCATGTGACAAGTCAGCCAGGCACGGTGCGAAATTCTGGAGATCAAACTGCATTAGTTAGCAGCTTAAATAGTTTGAATTCCTTGCAGACAATTAGTGACACAAACTCGGGTGTAAATGTGGCTCAACCTTTGTACAAGACTGTAGCAGGACAGATGGGAATAACCCTTCAAAGTAACAGCAGTCGGACAAAGTCCAAAGAATCTCAGAAACATTCTGGTATCAGTGTAGTCCGGCCATCTCTTGATCAACAGCAAACGATTCAAGTGAAGTCAGAACCAGCAGAGTTTAGTGACCCACAACCCCAAGGGACAGTTTTTACAAGTGTCAACCAAAATACTTCATTAGCACAGAATCTACCACAAAATATCAACCCAAGTACTGGGATTCCAGCATTAGGAGGATTCCAGAATGTGTTGACCACTGGAAATGTTTTCCCACAATCCCTGCATTCTAATTATAATCAGACTATGCCACAGGGTCCAGTTTCAGTGTTGCCTAGTTTCCAAGCACCACAACCTCCAGCACTGAATGTAGCACAACCTCCAGCTCTAAATGTAGCACAACCATCACTCAGCGTAGCACAACCACAACTCAACATAGCACAGCCGCAACACAATGTAGCACAACCACAACTCAATGTAGCACAACCAACATTCAACGTAGCACTGATGATCAACCCAATCACTGGAGCACCTATGTTAGTGTACTCACAAAACGTTCCAAACCCCAGTCAGAATGTTAACCAACTGAATCTTGCAGCGAACCCATTTTCACAAGTGTCAGTTTTGGCTCCAAGTGTACAAAATCAAAGTACTTCAAGCCAAAGTACTGCAAATCAATCTACTACAATGCAAAGTAGTTTAAGCCTAAGTACCGCAAATCAAACTACTACAGTACAAAGTGTAGCAAGCAAAAATACTGCAATACAAAGTAGTTCAAGCCAAAGTACTTCAGATAAAACTAGTACTGTACAAAGTACTTCAAGTCAGTATACCAAGTCAGCAAGACCAAGCGTAATCAAAAGCCAAAGTACTGTAGTAAGCACTTCAAGCCAAAGCAAGACAACTGAAACTACTGCAAGACAAAGTATACCAACTCAAAGTACTACAATACAAAGTACTTCAATTCAAAGTACTCCAATACAAAGTACTTCAAGTCAAAGTACACCAATACAAAGTACTTCGAGTCAAAGTACACCAATACAAAGTACTTTGAGTCAAAGTACACCAATACAAAGTTCAACAAGTGAAACAACTGCAAGACAATGTTTAACAACTCAAAGTACTTCAGCTCACAGAGAGAAGGAAGTATTGAGCACTCTGAAAGATCTGTCAACCTCAGCAAATTCATCTAATCCATCAGAGACTGAATCTCCAAGTAGTGACACCAGATCAGCTCAGCAGGAGAAAACTCTAGAACAAACTGATCCACCATGTGAGATGGATGAAGAGGATGTGTCACTCTCTGACACTGATGATCAACCCTCCACCTCCTCTGTGACAGCTAAGAGATCATCACCAACAGCAGACGACAATACCTCTCAGATTGTAAGTGTTCTGTATTTTATTTTTATGAAAAAACGAGTATACTAGTACTTACCTACCTATCTGCCTACTTATTAACTGACCCTCTGTAAATTACTTTAAATGAAGATCATGCAACTATATGCCTCTCAATGTGCTTTTAGGTTCTTTGAACTTTTCAGAAAGGTCTAATTACAAGTAGAAATTTATATCCCGAAAAAGCATTTTTAGATACCAATGTTTATTAACATGATATGAAATTAAATTTATGGTTGCAAAGAATTTCATTGGGAGGCATATAATAAAAATTGTTGCATGAAAATATTTAATTTTCAATAAAGACTATTTGAATTAAATTGTGTAAAGAGTTTCCTTCTGTGTAAATTACAAGCAACTGAAAACTTCAATAAATTGGTTATTTCAATTACTTGTGTAATCAAGAAAACACAAGATTTTTTTCTCTTTGTTATTCAAATTTTTATGAGTTATACTGACATGCTGATCATTTTTTTTCCATTTCTATGTCACTATTTCATATTGATATGAATTTTGTATGCCCCTCACAACAGAGGATGGAGGGAATAAATTAATGGGCTTTGTGTTTTAGTTTGTGCTGTGTGAAATGGTACTGACATTATTTGCATCTGGGTCAATATCAAATGCTGTCTTAATTTTATAGATATTCTGTTTACCAGGGAATACCCTGCTTTGCTTGTGTCCTTATTTATAGAAAAATATTTTAGAAACCATCCATTGGGGTGATTCTGCTTTGTAATCCTTTTATTTTATTTCATTCGATTTTAGCATCCACTCTGTAAACGATTTAAAAGAACAACGGAGGATGAAATGGACAGATTATTTAAGGGCAGACAAGCATGGTCAACTAAAGTGAACACGCAATGGGGGATGAGGATATTTCAAGGTATGACATTAAGATTAACATATTAAGGCTACACCCATTACATTTTTTTTGCTTATCAGACCCCCTACTCCAATTTAACAAAACTATACACAAAATATGAAAATTTTGTACTAATTTCTGTTCCATTTTTGCTCCAATTTATCAAATTTCAATCTGCCTAATCAAATCAGAAGGGAAAAACTATAATTGTTGAATCAAATTTTACCATTTTATGCCTTAAATTGTTGCCAAGAAAACAGTTATAATATAAATATTGAATGGTTCAACCACTCATACTTTTTTCATCAGATGTCTGACAAGCAAGAAATTTAAATGGTGTGACCTTATTATAATTTTATTGATTACTGTAGATCACGATATTTTTGCTACACCTTATTTTCGCAAGATAGTCATTGACTCTTGATTAGCGAGAAAAAAATTTCATGAATTCTGGTTATTGCTGTATATAATCTTAAGGAATGCTATTATACGTATGAATTAAATTTTCGCAAGCACACTGTCTTGCATAATTATGCGAAAATAAAGTTCTCGCAAATAAAAAGTGATTAACAGTATTAAGAAGTATGTTTCTTGCAGGAAAAATGCACATATTGGAAAATTTTTTGAAGTTTTAAAAGCTATAAAAATTTCAAAAGTACAGTGTGGCCTCCTCATTAATCCGGATGCTTTGGTTCCTAGTCAATTTGTCCAGATATGTGAAACATCCGAATACCTGAATCACCAGTTAAACAAGACAAAATAACATTAAAAAATTCTGTTCCCATGAAAAATCATCTGGATACTGAAGCATCCGGATATCTGGCGTCCGGATATCTGAAGGCCCACTGTACCTATTTAGATGTTTCTAACCTCAGCTGTGTTGCAGCTAGAGTAAGCTTTCTGATCTAAATTTACTTGTTGTCTGTGGTTGTCTTCTTCATAAACTTTATCTTCTTGAAACATTTGAAAAGCAATATGACTACATTGTGAAGATTAAATTTGTTCAGGTCTTGTCTCTAGAGACTGAGAAAGGACCACAATAGAAAAAGGATGGAAGTTTTATTGGTTGTTGGTGTTTTATAGGAAAATAGGGGAGAAACATGCATCAAAATCCTCCAAAAATCAGGAAGGCATTGATTTTGCATATTTATATGTTTGCAATGCTAAAGTTTTATCAGTTTGATTAGTTTTTAGCTCACCTGAGCCAAAGGCTAAAGTGAGCTTTTCTGATCAAAATTTGTCGTCGTTGTTGTCATTGTAAACTTTTCCCATTTTCATCTTCTTCACAAGAACCACTGGGCCAATTTCAACTAAACTTGCTACAAAGTATCCTTGGGTAAAGGGGATTCAAGTTTGTTCAAATTTTCCAAGGGGAGATGATTATGAATTAGAGAAAAATTAATGGCATTTTTTAAAAAAATCTTCTTCTCAAGAACCACTGGGCCAGGAAAAATGAAAATCATGTGGAATCATCTTCAGGTAGTGTAGATTCAAGATTTTTCAAATCATGACCCGCGGGGGTAAGGTGGGGCCACAATGGCCGATCAAAGTTTTACATAGGAATATATAGGAAAAATCTTTAAAAATCTTTTTCTCAAGAACCACTGGGCCAGGAAAGATGAAAATCATGTGGAATTATCCTCAGGTAGTGTAGATTCAGGTTTGTTCAAATCATGACCCCAGGGGTAGGGCAGGGCCAAAATGGCTGATCAAAGTTTTACATAGAAATATATAGAAAAAAATCTATAAAAATCTTCTCAAGAACCATTGAGACAGGAAAGATAAAACTCATGTGAAATTATCCTCAGGTAGTGTAGATTTAAGTTTGTTCAAACCATGACCTCGTGGGAGGTTAAAATTCAACCCCCCACACCACCCCCAAACTCAGTAAACTTTCAGTTTTGATCTGATATGTGCTTTTTCCTAGCAAATTGCTCAGGTGTGCGATGTGGCCCCTTGGCCTCGTTTACCTCTGCTCTGTAGGGTTGAACCACATTCATCTTTCTTAAAAATTTATATAAGCTACAAACTGTACAGTATGAAAGAAGTAATATTGGGCTCACATCATGAGTCTTCTTGCATAGAAAGCTTATCTTTAAGCTCATATTCCACAAAGTCGAAGGAGTTCTTGTTTACTGTTATAATCTTTCTTATAAATTAAAGCCTCTTTGGTATTCCCTCCAAAATTAAGACAGCTTTATTTTTTCTTTATCTTATAGTAAGGAGAAAGATTAAAAGCTTTTTTTTTAAATTCATGTTAATAAAATTATTAAAACACAGGCATTCAATCATGTCATCTTCATATAATGACAATGACTACAGCATTTATTTTTCTTCTTATTTTTTTTTTGTATAATTTTACATTTAAGTCCAAATATGGTTAAATACAATTTCAGCAAATACATGTTGAATGACCCATACAGGGATGTGAATTCCATTCCTTTTAGTTTTAAAGCTTGCTGTTGTTCTTAACTAAATAGATAAAACAAGTTATGTTTATAATAAACATGATTAATAAATGAATGTTGTTTGTCCTTTGGACTTAAGTTTGTGTTACTGTATTAAGATTGCCCTTAATGATTCTATGGATACAGACCTGCCTACCCTTCCGCTTTTGGCGTAATTCTTCCGCTTTTTACCACAAAATTACGCTATTACGCCACTAACATCAATTTTACGCTTTTGATAATTTGGTTGAAAATCCACTTTGAACGTCAACATTTGGAGTCAAGGTATGACCTGCTGAAATGAAATTAAAAGTTCCAATAAAAGTTATTGATAGAGGACCAGTTCGTAAACAAGCATAATATACCTAGTAGTTCAATGTAAACTCTAATGGCGAAGATTTGGAAGAACAAGAGAAGGCACTGCTTTCATAAATTATTAAATTATATAATTGCATAATTACAGCATGCAATTTCTATGCTCAATTTTGTTTATTCAGACATTGCTTTGAACAAGATAGAGAAATTTGAGTAATAAAAAGATAAAATACAGTGTTATGTACGATTTGTGTAAACATGCAAACGCAAGCCTTCAATGAAGTGATTGCCCCTTGGGGATCCGCGTTAGAATAGGTCCTCAGTACCCCCTTGCTTGTCGTAAAATGCGACTAAATGGGGTCGTCCTTCGGATTAGACCCTATAAACCGAGGCCCCGTGTCACAGCAGGTGTGGCACGATAAAGATCCCTCCCTGCTCGAAAGCCGTAAGTGCCGAGCAAAGGCCTAAATTTGTCGACCTTCACCGGCAATGGTGACGTCTCCATATCAGTGAAATATTCTGGAGAGGGACGTTAAACAGTATACAATCAATTAAGTGATTTGATACAAAATTGACCACATGCTTTATTAAGAGTGTACGGTTGATTCGAGTTTTAGAATACTGGTACACATGTATTTTACATCTATTTTTTTTGGCCAGTAGATGATTCGAAAAAGTTTTTTTTTCCATTTTTCTGTAGTAATGTACGAATTAGGTTGTTTTAAAAGAAAATAACGTATTATAGTAAATACATCAAACTAGAAAACATGATTACGCTTTAACCTCTGAAATTCCACCAAAAATTTACTGAAATTACACCCATGGAATTAAAAGAGTAGGCAGGTCTGTGGATATGGGGAACAAGTTTGTCCATATACTCTATACAGGGATATTTTTGCCCCATGTTATTTTTGCCTTTTGCAGTTGCCAACAATTTTGCCCCAATTTTAAATTTGCCCTGTCATAGTTCTGTTTTAAGAAATCAGGGAGTTTGTATCTTTAACTTTTTGATATTAGGGACTGAATTTAAAATTAGGTCATACCAAAAAAACATTGTGTCTTAAGTTAGTGTGTTAGAACTGTTAAATTTAACCATGTTAACATTGATTTTTTTTTAAACTCACTCCAATATTTACATTTCAAACTGTTTTCTATATGACAAAAATATGAAAGTTATGTAAATTATTTTTTTTTCAATATTATTGTTTCAGTGTACTTTAAAATACATGAAGTGCTTACTTTAAATGCAAGTATAAGTTGAAGTCACATGTACAGATAAGAAATGGGATGTTTATCAATCTGATGAATACAGAGGGCTCACAGCAAATGTGACATCAACAGGGGTTGCTTACTCCTTTAAGTCACCTTATCCAAGCTCTTGAATTCTCAGGTGTCTTTATGTCCTCCTCAAAGATTTATATTTTTGAGATGGATCAGTTTGTTACTTTTTCATTTAAGTGCATTCATACAACTATATTGAAATCTGATGAAATGCAACAACTTTCAAGCATTTCCACACAGTACACACACTGAAGTGTCTCGAAATTGGTCTTAGAGAGAATTTTAATGTTAAGTTGGTGGAGAATTAGATGATATTAATAATTGTGTGCATTGATATCTGAATATACATACGTGGAGCATGGTTTTAATTGAAACCCCCCTCTTCAGATCAACAGGAGCCATCTGATCCTGATTCAGAACCTCTCTCTGAAGAAGAATCTTTAAATATTTTTGCTCACATGATCGCCCAAGAAGTTACGACATCAGGAGACCAGTCACCACATGCAATGGATTTACAGCAGCCAGGAAGTCCTGAATCACCTCCTAGTGAAATGCCGAGTACAAAGTCTAGATTTCACAAGGTAACCGAGGAGCAGGTTAAAAAATATGAGGAAATGACGCAGTCCAAAAACACCAAGAAACATACCAAGTGGGGAGTTAAGATACTACACGGTAAGCACCTGATCTGATGTTAAGAACTTATGATATTATTATATTTTAAGCAATTGGCACAGTGAACAGTACAGGTGTTACAATAGCACACCTAACTATTAGCATTTGGCTGGGTGAATAGATTGTGTGTAAAGATTATAGAGTAAGCACTAGATGGGGAGTTAAAATAGTACATGGTAAGCACTAGATGGAGTGTTAGGATATTACATGATAAGCACTAGATTGGGTGTTAGGATATTACATGATAAGCAGTAGATGGGTTGTTAAGATATTACATGATAAGAAGTAGATGGGGTGTTAGAATATTACATGATAAGCAGTAGATGGGATGTAAAGATATTACATGGTAAGCTCAAGATGGGGTGTTAAGATATTACATGGCAAGGACAAGATTGGATGTTAATATATTACATGGGAAGGACAAGATGGGGTGTTAAGATATTACATGGAAGGACAAGATTGGATGTTAATATATTACATGGGAAGGACAAGATGGGGTGTTAAGATAGTACATACTAAGCACAAGATGGGGTGTTAATATAGTACGTACTAAGAACAAGATGGGATGTCAAGATAGTACATACTAAGGACAAGATGGGATGTCAAGATAGTACATACTAAGAACAAGATGGGATGTCAAGATAGTACATACTAAGAACAAGATGGGATGTCAAGATAGTACATACTAAGGACAAGATGGGATGTCAAGATAGTATGTACTAAGGACAAGATGGGATGTTAAGATAGTACGTACTAAGGACAAGATGGTTTAAAGACAGTTCATGATAAGCACTAGATTGGATGTTTAGATATAACATGGTAAGCATTTGATGGGGTGTTAAAATGTTACATGGTAAGCAAAAGATGGGGTGTTAAGATATTACATGATAAGCACTAGATTGGGTCTTAAGATATCATATGGTAAGGACGAGATAGGGTGTTAAGATATTACATGGTAAAGACGAGATAGGGTGTTAAGATATTACATGGTAAGCACTAGATGGGGTGTTAGGATGTTACATGGTAAGCACTAGATGGGGTGTTAAGATATTACATGATAAGCATTAGATGGGGTGTTAGGATATTACATGATAAGCATTAGATGGGGTGTTAAGATATTACATGGTAAGCACTAGATGGGGTGTTAAGATATTACATGGTTAGCACTAAATTGGTTGTTAAGATATTACATGGTAAGAAGAAGATGGGGTGTAAAGACAGTACATGATAAGCACTAGATTGGGTCTTAAGATATCATATGGTAAGGACAAGATAGGGTGTTAAGATATTACATGGTAAGCATAAGATGGGGTGTTAAGATAGTACATAGCTTGGTGAAGTTGGAGGTGTTAAGATATTAAATGGTAAGCATTTTGCAGGTTGAACAATATATGCTTTTAACAAAAGTTATTTTAGAATTTACCTGTTCAGGTATTGTGGTAATCTTGTAAAAATGAATATATATAAAACTGAGGCATGTAAATGGGCAGATTAGCTCATGATTTAAAAATGAAACCGTAATTAATAGAACAAAAGAAAGAAAACCATAACAGTAAATATCATAACATATTTTTTGTAGAATGGCATTTGGAAACGTTTAACCAGGATATTGACCTTTCAACTATAAGCACAGAAGAATTAGTTGACAAACTTAAAAAGTTCTACTGCGAAGCAAGACCTTGTAAGACACCTAATGAAGAGTACCATAAAAATACTCTTAAAGGCATACGTGCTGCAATCAACAGACGACTCTCAGATCTTGGAAGAGATATCGATATTGTCAACGACAAGTCATTCAAATCAGTAAACAATTGCCTGGTTGGTCTCTTTAAACAACGGAAAGCAGAGGGGTTATCACATTCAACAAATAAAAGGGAACGTATCTCAGAACAGGACCTACAAAAACTTTCAGCTTTTCTAGAAACTGCATATTCCTCACCATTTAACCTACGGTGGGCAGTGTGGTACATTATAGCCGTTCATTTTGTATCTCATGGATTTGAGTTTCACAGTCAACTTAAAATAGACTCGTTTCAGTTCAAAACTGATGAGGAAGGAAAGACGTATGCCTGTCTTTCTCATGAAATAAAGCCAAAGACGCAGCAAAACAAGCTAGAAAAATCTCAAGTGAGAACCGACATACGAATGTATGAAACACAATCCACAGTTTGCCCTGTAAAGTTGCTGAAGTTCTTTCTTTCAAAAACGGTATCCAAAGCTACAAGTTTTTTTAACAAGTGTGTAAGAGAGTCCCTCACTGACCCTTCTCTTGATTACTGGTATTCAAATAATCCTTTGAACCAAAAAGGAATCATGAGTTTCCTGCCTAAACTTTGCAAATTTGCTGAATGTAATCGCTACACAGGTCAGTGTCTCCGGCTGACGGTTCTCCAGCATGTGAGGGATGGCGGTACTGAAGAAGACCTAATTATGTGCGGGCACAGGGAGGAGTCTAACCTCAGCAACAGCAAAGAAGGGGCTTCAGATGAAGAAGAGGGGTGAATAGGGAAGGGTCTTCAGATGTAGAGGACTGGTTAAAAAAGGAAAAGGAATCCAACCACAGTGACAGCATAGGCATAGAAGGGACTTCAGATGTAGAATAAAGTGAAAACAAGAAAATGTTTTAAATAACGAAGGTCGGATATTCAGCCTTGGTCAACACTGTGTCTAAGGAGAGAGAATTTGTAATGAACAGTACACCTTCCTCAGATCATACATGAATCGTCCCAAATATTCTACCCTGAACCATTTGAAGAAGTTTTATGATAACTGATTTTCGATAAATATAATTACGAATTCATAATCATGTATAACAATTAATATATACTTTTTAGGTCACCTGAATAAACTCAGGTGACCTATTGCTATCTGTTTTCATCCGTCATTGTGCATCGTGCGTAAACATTTGAACATTTTCAGCTTCTTCTCTGCAATCACTGAACCTTTTTCACCAAATTTAGCATAAGGCATCAACGTGTGAAGGGGAACAAAAATTGTGAATTTCATGATCCCTGCCCCCCTGGGGCCTGAGGGTTGGGGCCAAAACCACTAAAATTAATGCAATCTTTAAAAATCTTCTTCTTTACTCCTGGACATCAAGCAGCCAAACTGTTTGCATGATTGTATTAGCATTGAGTCCTCTACCAAAATTGTGAAGTTCATGGCCCTGGGGTCAGGGGTTCTAGTGCTAGGGATGGGCTAAATAAGTATGTAGTAAAAATGCATTATTTCTTTGAAAATCTTCTTTCCTGCTCATGGATATTAAATAAACCAACTAATTACATAGTTATGATGAGCAAGAGAGACTCTAGTAAAATTGTGAATTTTATGGCCCCAGGGTCAGATGTTCTGGTGTTAGGTTGGGGCTCTATTGATTATATAGTAAAAATACATGAATTCTTTGAAAATCTTCTTCTCTACTCCTAGGTATTAAATACACTAATGAAGTACATACATGTAGTTATAAAAAGCAAGAATGCCTCTTCCAAAATTGTGAATTTTATGGCCCCAGGGTCAGGGATTCTGGTGTTAGGGTGGGGCTGTATTGATTATATAGTGAAAATACAGAGCAGATGAACTACATATATAGCTATGATGAGCAAGGGCCATTCTTTTAGAATTGTGAATTTCAAGGCCCCTGGGTCTAGGGTACGGAGGGGGGGGGGTCAACTTATATACTGAAAATGAATTAATTGATTGAAATCTTCTCCTTAATATTAATCAAACATTTTGATAAACAAGGGTGCCTTTTCCAATATTGTGAAATGTTTGGACCAAGGGTCAGAGGTTCATGTGTGGGTGTGGCACTACTGATTATTGCTGAATATTATTGATTAGTCGAAATGCATTTGTTCCCCTACTTTATCTATGGGTATTAAAGCTGAACACGACTCGTAAATAGGCATACGCCATTTTTGATAGAATTATCTACGATACATCAATACTAGGGTATACTCGTCGCTTTCGTTACACCTGACTGCTTTATTGTCACATGTATCGGCGTGGAATGGCGACCCGTGTTCGTGCTGGTATCTTGCATTACCTTTGTTTATATTTTATTGAAGTTACCTTTGTCTATGTTGTTTGTATACTGCTCTGACTTGTACAGCTATAACTGTAAATTCATTTGGTATCTTACTTTCCTGCATTAGACGAAGTATTACGATATTATTCTCGCTACCAAGTTCTGTATAGCATACGTCCCTCTACACCGGTGTCGACTGGTTAAACTGAACAGTTTCTAATTCTTGCCCTATTTATATGGGTCTGCAGGGTAGCGAGTCTCGGGAACTAAAATGGCCGATACATTTCTTTTACGAATCGTGTTCAGCTTTAAGTAACCAAACTAAGCATTCAAAGTGTATAGATATGATAAACAATGGTGGTTCTATCAAAATTGTGAATGCCATGATGCTAGTTTAAAACATGAACCAAATTCAATCGTTGGAAAGTTGTTGCATGATGCTCAGGTGACCTGTAAGGCCCATGGGCCACTTGTTTCATTTAAATATTGATTATTACCAACTGTAAAAAAATTATCATTAAAATGTTCAGTTTTTACATCCATTTTAATAGTTAACCATTATAGGCATTTCTTACGATGTCAATAAGTAGTTACTGTTGAAATAAAAGGTTTTTTTTACGTTTTGTACGTATTTTTTTGACAGTTTGTCAAAGGGATTGGACACAAGTGCAATTTACATTTCAAATCCATATTCGGATACATATTTTCATTTTAATTGCTCCTCTCCATCTGTCCTAAGTAACCTGCAACGTCAAATTGGATTATTATTTCTGAAGCGTATACTTGAATAAACAATGGCCTTGAAATTTGAAACATCTGATAAATGTCCGCTTCATGTACATGTTTGCGTGTTTCTGATTTATTATACATCTTAAGCCTGAGCTGATTACTCCTGTGAGTTTTTCTGATCACTTGGGGCCTGTTTTACATAAGAACGTGTCGTTTAAGAACCAGATTTAATTCTGCATATTCTCAACTCTTTAATTAGGGCCCCGCAAGGATTTGCGGCTGCCCTATAGTAATCACTCTGTCTGTCCGTCTGTCTGTCTGTCTGTCTGTCCGTCTGTCACTTCCGTCCACAAATTTTCTGTTTTTTTCTAATAACTTTTTTATGGTTGCCCAGTCAAGTTCAAATTTGATATGTTAGTTCAGTAGGCAAAAATACATATTTTGACGCTAAGTTTAGTTCTGTATGTCTTCTGGTTTGGAGCTGGGTCGGACTGAGGTAGATTCCTTAACTATGCATAAGAATGAATGGGCAACTTTTTTATGGTTGTCCAATCAAGTACAAATTTGGTATGGTAGTTCAGTAGGCAGAAATACATATTTTGATGCTAAGTTTGGTTCTCTCTGTCCCCTGGTTTGGAGCTGGGGTGGTGGGGTAGATTCCTTAACTTATATATACGAAAGCATTGGCAAAGAGAGATAACTGCTGAAGATGTTCCCATTGTAAAGTGAATGCTGCTATGAGTCCCTTGGGATTAATTAGCTTTCCTCCTGAAGAAAATCCAGAGCATCATCTTTATCTGTCAAATTGAGACGAATTGCCACCTCTGTTTGCAATAGAAGTTTGTTTTGAAGTTAAGTCAATTTGGAATGCTATGAACACTCTGAAATGTGGATTTAAATATAAATTTTTATAATTTATTTTTGTTTAATAGTTATGATTTCATTGAATTCTAATAACAAGAAATAGATTAAAGAAGATTTTTTTATTTACTTTTTTCACTTTATGTTAATTCAAGAATATTATTAATTTTTAGGATAGTTGTATAAAAACCCCATTCTATCATTTATACTGAAAAAGTTCTTATTGTAACTTTAGAAGAAAATGATGAGAGAGGTACAATTAATCCCTTGGGATTAATTATCTAGCCTGCTGCAGAAAATTTAGTAGGCTTTTCTTTATCTGTCACTTTAAGATTAATGAAAACCTTTGTCTGCAACTGCTGTTTGTTTGAAGTTAAGGTCAAGCCTTCATGATATTTGCATTCATTGAAGGCTGGCATTTTATAAAACACAAGCTTCATAATTGTTTAAAGATACATTCAATGTTAAGTTGTTCTTTACTGCCTAATGTAAATACAAGGATATTATTTTCAGGTTTTTGAATATTCAGGAATTATCTTGAAATTTTAAGGATACAGTTACTGTTGCTGTTGCTCATTCTTCATACATTTTTTAATCATTCCGTAAGCTGCACCCTATTAATTTTACCCCATGGCGGGGCCCTTGCTGACTGGTCAGTTTTCTAGTTTACATTATATTGAAATAATATCAATTTTTTAAAAGTAATTTATAATGTTTACAACAGTAGTTTTAAACAAAATCATTATTTTTACAATCAAGTTTCCAAAATTGTTTTAGTCTTTAGTTCTTTTGTAAATTAAATACTGTTGTGTGTTGTTTGTCCTTCTTTTTAACAGTTCATATTTTTTTCAAGAACTAGAGGGATAATTTTTTCAAAAATTGTTTTAAAGCATCCTTGGCTGAATAGTTTAAATTGTTAAAATAAAATGACAAGTCCGAGTAGGGGCTACAATAGTGAGTCAAAATTTAACATTGAAATGTACGGGCAAAACTTTGATAATCTTCCGATGCAGCCCTAGGCAAAAAAAGCTCAAACTCGTGTTGAAGCTCTCATGGGTAGTGTAGATTCTAAGGTGTTCAGTTATGTCCCATGGAGTAGGGTGTGGCCACAATACATGTATATTTACCAGTAATACTACCGCAAATGGCGAATTTTATGGGGGTCTTTATACATATGTTTTAAATAACAACCTTTCAGAGTCCATTCACGTCATATGTTTTTCCGAAAGATGGTTATCACAAAAAGTACAAAATTTAACAGATGTTCATTGTTTAAGTCACCTGAGTAAACTCAGGTGACCTATTGCTATCTGTTTTCGTCCATCATCGTACGTCGTTCGTAAACTTTTGAACATTTTAAGCTTCTTCTCGGGAACCACTTAGGCAATTTCAACCAAATTTGGTATAAATCATCTATGAAGGGGACAAAACTTGTGAATTTCAAGGTCCCTTCCCTCCTGGGGACTGGGGCCAAAACCACTAAAATTAGTGCAATCTTTAACAATCCTCTTTACACATGGACATTAAACAGTCCAACTGTTGGCATGATTGTAATCAGCAAAGAGTCCTCTTCAAAAATTGTGAATTTCATCGCCTCTGTGTCAAGGGTTCTTGTGTTAGAATAAGCTATATAGATCATATAGTAAAAGTTCATTATTTCTTTGAAAATCTTCTCCCTTGCTTTTTGGTAATAAACAAACTAACCAAGTACATAGTTATGAAGACCAAGAGTGCCTCTTCTAAAATTGTGAATTTCATGGCCCCTTGTTCAGGGGTTCTGGTGTTAGGGCGGGTCTCTATTGATTACATAGAGATAATACATTAATTCTTTGAAAATCTTCTCCTCTGCCCCTGGGTATTAAACAAAATAACTAAGTACCTAGTTCTGGTGGCCAAGAGAGCCTCTTCCAAAATTATGAATTTTATGGCCTTTGGGTCAGGGATTGTGTTGTTAGGGTAGGGATCTATTGATTGTGCATCAATTCTTAAAAATCTCCTCCTCTGCTCCTGAGTATTAAATAACCTCACTTAGTATTTAGTCATATTGAGCTACAGTGCCTACCAATTTTGTGTATTGCATGGTCCCTGCGTCATGGGTTTTGGTGAAAGGGGGGGGGGGGGCTTTTTTGATTATATAGTGGAAAAACATTACTTCTTAATCTTTTTCTTTGTTCCTGGGTATTAAACAAACTAACAAAGA